GCCGCAGGGGTCGGAGGGGGAAATCCGTGCCCCGGGGGCAACTGACAAACCGGGGCTGGGTTAGCATCAGGGACTTTTGGTGGAACTCCGTCCCGCTCTGTCTGGAAACAAGTTGGGCTTTTACTCCTCAGAACCGCCCCGGGAGAGAGACACTGTTCAGTGATGGCGAACCTATGACACGCGTGTCAGAGGCGACACGCGAACTCATTTTTTTGGTTGATTTTTCTTTGTAAATGGCATTTAAATATATAAAATAAATATCAAAAATATAAGCCTTTGTTTTACTATGGATGCAAAGACCAAAAAATTTCTGTATGTGACACGGCACCAGAGTTAAGTTAGGGTTTTTCAAAATCCTGACACGCCGAGCTCAAAAGGTTCGCCATCACTGCCCTATATCATGCCCATTTTACAGATGAGGAAAGAGAGGGTGACTGTGCCCAGTTTGACACAGCAGCAAAGATCAGAACCAGGGTTTAACTCCACCTCCCTGCCTGTGCCCTTAAAGGGTGGGCAACCCATTCCTCTCCAGCAGGGCTGTTGGGAAGCCTTGGGAATGCCAAGTCTAGGACCCAGCCTTCCTCCCCTGCGCCAGGCAGGAGCCTGGTGGTCCTGGCAGTGCCTCTGGCATCAAGCATGGCCTAAAGCTGTCAGAGAAATGGACTCTCCCTCGCCCTCTAATCATCTCGAGTGTCCAGGGGGCCAGAGGGGGTGGGTTGCCGGTCAGACTGAGACCCCCTGTGTCCTGGGACCCAGTGTCCCACGCTGCCTTTCAGCCAAGGAGGAGGCCAGGAATTGCTGGGTGTTTTCAGGAGCCCCTGAAGCCCAGGCCTGTACACCGGAGTCAGGAGTGCTGCCCTCCCTGCCCTCCTCTGGGCCTCAGTCTCCCCAGAAGCCCAGATGGGCCTGCGATGGTTTCTGAGGATCCATCCAGCTATGGAGGAAGGCATTTGAGAACTGTCGCTGAGCAAGACTGGGGACCTCGTTCCCATCGGGGGTTCCCAGGGGGTGTTTCCAGTGGCTGCCCAGAGAGCAGCCTAAAGTAGTTGTCCCTCCCCCTCCCCTGGGGAGGCAGGGTGCACCTGGAGCAGAAGGAAGGAAGGGGAAGAGGTGAGGCTGCAGGGGTTTCCTGGTGCCAGTTCCCTGGTGAGATCATGGGATGAGGAGGGAGGAGGGAGGGCCCAACAACATGGGGTATGAAGCGCCTTTAGGAGAGTGTCAGCCTGGCCTGCCCCCACCCCAGCACCCTCTGCAGGGAAGTAGCCCGACCAGAGACCCCTGACACCCTTCCCTCTCAGTCCATGTCCCAGAGGAGGAAGCCAAGGGAGGCTCCCAACAACCCACACCCACACCCACACCCACACCCACACCCACACCCACACACGAATCATCAGGCCAGGGCGCCAGCAGAGTGATGGAGATCTGGCTCATCACTGGCCAGGCCCTGCCCGGAGCTCCCAACGGGCACTGTCTCCCACATGGGCCTAGGTGTGTGTGGGGGAGGGGGGAGAAGGATGGGGGGGCTCCTATTTGCCACATTTATCAGTGAGGAGCCTGAGGTTCAGAGAGGGGAGGGGGTGTTCCTGGGACTGCAGAGATTAAGTGTCAGAGCCTAGATTTGACCCCAAGCCCAAGCCCTGAACGTTTCGCCACCTGCAAGTAAAAGGCTCAAACCCTGTTTCTACCATTATTTCAAGTGACTTCCCATAACCCCCTGGAGAGAGATGTTAGGAGCCCAGTTTACAGACGAAGGCATTGAGGCTTTGTAAAGGTAACGACTTGCATGAGGTCACACAGTTAGCTGAGTTGGAGTTTTAATAATTTTAACATTTGCTGAGCTGTAACTCTGCCCTAGACACTATTCTAGGTCCTGGGGAGACAGCAGTGGGCACAGCAAGCAAAACCCTGGGCTGCCGGAGCCCCCATTCCAGGGTCGGGGAGACAGATGATTAACTAGGGAACAGCATGGCCAAAGGTCCCCAGGTGGGGCGTCCTTGGCATATTTGAGAATAAGGCGGGGGGCTGGGGGAGAGGAGTGGGAGGGGGCAGGCTGGAGAGGACATGGGTTCAGGGACCGTAGGGCCCGGCTGTGACTGTACGGCCCCACTGCTGGCCTTGAGGCAGAGGGCCCCACTGTGACTTGGGGTGACAAGGACCTCTCCTTTCAGGGGGATCTGAATGCACCTCTACTCATTGTAAAGGTCCCACCCAAGTGCCCTTTTCTCCGACCCAGGGACCCGACCCCTCCACCCCCGTTCCTAGGGCTGTTCAGAAGGAACCTGAGACTTGGGGAAGGTGGTACCCCATAGGGGAGCTGGGGCACCCTGTGTTGCCTGGACCCCAACCCCAATGCCAGGCACTGAGAACAGGCCAGCTCCCCCCTTTCCTCCTGGAATGTTGATTCTGGTCCAAGAATTCCCAGAGCTCCCCAGAGTCCCACGACCCTCTCGGCCCTGCGGAGTGACGTCAGCTGCTGGGCATCTGGTAGTGATTACCCACTGGGGGAGGGGGCGGTGGGGGCCCAGCCCGCTCAGCCTCCTCGGGCTCAGGGCGGCTGGTCCTTGTCTTCCGAAGGGGCCCAGCTGCTCCTGGCTCTCATTTCCTGTGGAGACTTTCTCACAGTCCTCGAGACCCCCGGACGCCTCGGGCTGTGGGAACTGTGCTGGTTCAGGAAGGATGGACTGCCCCGCCCCCAGCTGAGACAATCCCCCTAAACCCCCAGGGGGCCTGCTTGCAGCGTGCACCACCTATGTCAGGGGTGAGGGCTGGGAGGACAGGGGTGCACCTATGTCGGGGGTGAGGGCTGGGAGGACAGGGGTGGGATGTATCAGCAGCTCAGTCCCCCTGACTCTACGTCCTTGAACTCAAGTCCCCTCTTTGAGCCTCAGTTTCCCCATCTATAAACTGGGGAGATTAACAGCAGCTGCCTCACAGGGTTGCTGTGGGGATTGGATGAGACGTGGCAGGTGGCACATTTACCCTGGGCTTGACCCAAGAAAGTACCAACACACGGGAGCCGCTCATACCGCCATGCCCAGGGTACAGAAGAGGAAACTGAGGCCCGATGAGGGGCTTTGCCCAGGGTCACACAGCTTCCTCCCGCCCAGCCGAGGGCCCTCCCCAGAGCCCCAGCGGGTCCTCCCTCTGCACCCACATGCCCTTTCCTCTCTCTGACATCGGTTCTGGGCTCCGGTTTGGATGGAATCTCTTTCTTCGCCATCCCCTCCCCAGCTCCCCCCTCCCCCCACCAGGAGCAGCCTCTGTTTTCTGGGGGGACCACCTCATGTAAGGGACAGCGCAGAGCCCACCCCGACCCAGTTTCCGCAGCGGTGTGTCCTGGGCCAGGTCCC